TGTATAGAAAAGGTAATCTTTATTGATAATACAATATGGAATCAACTCTTGTAACAAGTTTTCAGTCTCCTTTAAAACCCTTGTTTTAAAATCAACGGTAAATGTCACAGTAATTTAACTAAATTCTCAAAGACATCAAAACAACCCACTGAATCTTTCTTACAAAAAAAAAAGTATCTAAATATCAATCAGATGTGCCACACCTGAAATCTCTGAAGCAAGACGGTATTCATTATGCAGATCTATTGCTTCAGTTAATATTCTTCTCTGAATAAATAATAACAATAAAAAACTTAGATAAAACAACAGTAATAATTATAATGTATAGTTCTTCAATTTACATTCTTCAGAGCAAAACTTTACTCGGCCTCCTTCCTCATGCTGGTCTTGACGCATATGCTGGGCTCTGTTTTACAACCTCATCAAGCTTAGCAGCAAACAACTCACTCTCAATGGGTTTTTTGAGGCTGCAGAGTGGGTTGTATACCACATACTCCACATACACCTAGAAAGAATTATTTTTTATTTTAAAAATTCTGGGAAATCTATGAAAGTGTTAACATCCAAAGAGAACTAACTGGAAATGCAGACTATTCCATTAAAAGATGCATATACAAATGGAAATGAAAACCACAATTTACCCTTAACCTATTCCTAGTTATAAATGATAATAATGGTCAAAAAAACATCCACTGAACAACTAAACCCACCTGAGTATATATCTGCTGCAGAAGTTCCTTAATTCCTTGTGCATGAATATCAGTATTAAGGATGAATTTCAGTCTGGAAGGTGTCTCGTAGAGGTTGAGTCGATATTTGTTGGTTGTATATGAGAGGTAGCCTTCTTTGAGATCAACAGGTGATACCTAGCAGAGAAGAGAATATGTAAAGTACTTAAAAACTGAGTGAAAATTATTCAATAACATCAGTGACAATATTATGCCCTATTAAAGCTTAAACAACACATCTTTTATCATTTTCTTTTTAATATATTGCACAATGCAACTGAAGTTAATACTACAACAAAATACTCCTGACACTACCTTTGCAACAAATGATTTGATGGAGAAAATCATACCATACATCAACTTGGCTTCCTGCAACATTAGAAAAGAATATTGAATATCTCTTGGACAGTCACTAACCATCTTTACTACAGAGACATTTCAGTGCTCAAATACATACACCTCCAAAATTATAGGTCATCAATGACTTTTTACAGTAGAAGTACCACATATGAATGCTGATTAAAAAACAGCCAGCCACAAAAGACCATATATGGTTTTACCTTATAGCTCTATTCCCCTAAAGTTTTTTGATGAACCTTAGTTATATATTCACAGATAAATCATTACAAAGAAATGCAATTGTTTCTTTGTAAAAATGGTTCCTTTTCAGAAACAAAAGAAACTAAGTATCATCAAAGATCACAATACCAACAAGAAGTCAGGTCGCACCCAATAGCTGACCTTTCAGGACAGTTGATGCAATGAAGGAACACATGGGTAAATGTTTATCATAAAGTATGCTTCATTTTTTAGTACATGTGTAAGTGCATCACACAACACTACACTACTTCAATAAACCTGATGAAATATAGCACATTTAACTTGCAACTATGGACTATTTGCCAAATCAAAAAGGAAAAGAATGATAGAAATGCCGAGGGCACACAGGCAAGGAGGTGAACATAAGAAAGAGAAAATGAACTGACAGAAGGAAAATTAATAGAGAAAAGAGAGAAAAAGCCATATAGACATCAACAATGATTTTCTAAAAGTTCAAATCATTATCAGATCTGTTGGGATAACCAGTCTCAGTGACATATATTCCTTGAGGTTTGCTAATACTAAGTGTAAATATATGTACATTAACCCAACATAAAAATTGAATTCCATGGCAAACAAAGAAATGCACTAAAATGAAAGATAAACTGTTTCTTAAAAATATAATAGTAAAAAATTATAATAAAATAAATGAATGAATAAATGTAATAATAATAATAACATAAACCACTAATTTTATTTTTCTCAATTCCATTGACTGTAAGAATAACTTTGACTAAAATTTGGACCATTGTAATATGTTAATCTTACATCACAATAATCACATGGGTCTTAATAAGTGTCTGTTACCCTATATACATTTTTTGCATCATAATCTCATTCTAGATCCATTTATGATTATTATTTCTAAATTAAAACAATCTACTATTTTTTCTCAGTATTCTACAGTTACCAAATTATCATGTATTCAAAAGGCAAAAGGGGAGAGGTGCTACCTTGAAATAGATGAGGATATCCTGCCACTCTCTCATTCTCAATCTCGCACTTGCACTCGCACTCGCACTCGCACTCGCACTTGCAATCGCACTCGCTCTTGCTCTCTTACTCACTCACTCACTCACTCACATTCACACAACATATCTGTGAACTGGTAACTTGTTTGTGTCAATGAAATAGAAGAATATCAATTTCTGCCTTCTTTGAGGATTATTTGAGTTTTCCAAGAGCCACAGCTTAAGGGCAAAAAATTCAAGCAAAAGTTTAAAATTCACACACAAGCACATTTCAACTTACCTCTTCTCTACTCATGCCAGACTGCTTTTTTCTATTCCAGTCTGTATAATACAGAAGCTGCCCATCGCGATCAAAGAGATAGAGGTTGTGAATTGTCATTCTGCCGTCCTCTGAAAGAAAATGAGGACATGAGTATCGTTTATATAGTTTTTCTTTGTTTTAATCAAGAATCTTTTGCTTTGACTCTATTTAGTAAGCCAAATATAACTTTATCTTCACTAAAATACAGCTTATGAGATTATTTTCGCTACAGAAGCTAATTTCACTGTTTGAAACAGACATATTTCTTTCCACTCTATCCCTTTCTTTCTCTTTTTCTGTTTTCTTGATTTACTTACATAAGCATATAGAATCCAAAAAAGATCAGAATACTAAATACATACACATTTCCTAGGAGAATATCAAATGTTACATGGAGAATATGTTACATTTATATGGACAATATGTTTTTTTCAACAGTAATAACACATTTTTTTCTTTTTATCTCTTTGTAAAAATAATATGTCTAGATCTATTCCAAAAAAATATCTAATAAAAATATGATGAATTGAAATTGTTACATTTTGATTTCATCTTTGGCCTCATGTTCTCGTCATAAACCTCATTTTCCAAAATATATAGAGGCACTCAACAATAAATAAAGGATCTAATGAGATATAATTCCTAAGGCAACCACACAATATAAAGGATCTAAGAGATATAATTGCTAATACAACCACAATATAAAGGAATATCAATTAATATACAAAATCATAAGCACTTTATTTATCTGAGTATTTGAGATAATTACTGAACAGAATCTACAATTTATCACATAATATACTTCACCTATTAAAAACATCACTAATCAATGAGCTGGAAAGCTCAATAAGCCAAAATGTATGCACACAAAATACTTAATAATGCTTAACACATACAAATGCATAACAGACAGCAGGAATATAAAATACAGTTACAGTATTAGGATTTACTTTCATGATTAGTTAGTATTATTTCCAACAGTAATAGAAGTAATTATTTAAAACCCTCCTATAGCTCCCTAAAAGAGGCCTTATTGGCTTTCTGAAGTTTGAAATCTGTGATAGACAGGCTACAACCAAAAGTCCAACACAATCTCAAGAAAGTAGGTATATCTTCTCTCTTCATAGAAGGTTTAGTAATCGTCAATGTAAGACAACCAATTGACCTGTTTTGATTAGATCTTCATCAGTATTACATTCATTTCTGAGGAAGATATAATAAAAAAATATTCAAATAACTCTTTGGTTAACCTTTACAAACAGGAGATTACATTCTTATTAGCAAACTGGAGATTATATTCTTTAAGTCACCTGTACAAGAAAGTCCCAGCCTGAGCCCACTTTGTACCAGCTCTATTTTGCCATGCATGCCAAGGTGAAGACAATGCCGGAGGGTTTTGGGGGGTAGAACCCTCTATCATCCCCATCACAGAGTGCCCAAACGGGACACCCATTCACGGCAATTGTGACAAGGAGTATGAGGCTTTGTCTCTGGTGAGTGTGTCTGTATTGAAAAGAATTACCACATATCTTATACTGTGATTCTCATTCACACCTTATAAATTTGTCACAATGAATTCTGTTACTCTCCATTCCCTTTATGCTTTGCACTACAGCAAAGGTTGACAAACCTCTATCATCAATTTTTGACATGAAGGAATTTGGTCTGGTTCCTATTTTAATGGTAAATTGCTAAGGAGGTATACAAACTCTACCTAGTCAGAATATGGACAACTACCAGCTGGAGCAAGAGCAGTACTGGACCCACAGGTATCTTTTAACATTTAAAAAAATATCGAATGAAACAATAAAAGTCTCACATTTCGAGGGCCTTTCAAAATACAAAGCAGCTATTTTGACAACACTAGATATACAAGCCTACAAAGGAAATGTAAGGCACTTTTCATTTTCCAGTACACTTAAAATTTAAAAAGTGGTAATGGTTTTCGAAGTGACTGCACCCCTGAGACGAAGTTCCTAATATTCCAGCCAATCCTGGAAATCCACACACATTGCTGTATATAAAAAAATCCCTAACCTTGGGGTTTCAAAGCAAGATTCCCTTTTTACAATAGAGGCACAAAGCAATTATAATCACTATTTACAGAGTATGACAGGTGGATGAGTAAACTGTAGCTAAACTACAAAGTCTACATTTTCTTTTTACATTCAGCTGCAATCAAATGTGTTCTATATAACAACCCATACTCAAAATCTTGCTTTCCAGCAGGCTGCACAAGTCAAAACAAATGAAAATAAACATCAGGTTTGTTCCAATCACATCTAACTGTAGAGGAAATTCTGAACCTGAGCCATGTTGTTACAAAAGTTGTTTTAAATGAAAAATTGCTGATCTTTTTTCATTAACAATAACCAGTAACTTTTCTATTTTGAAAAAAAC